GTGGCTATGAAGGAACGTCAACTTGGTAAGGAGGATAGAGGGTGACAGGGTAATAGTATTATTCTAAATGGGGTGGTCAGGGAAGGTCTCTCAGATAAAGTTGTGTTTGAGCAGAAAACCTAAGGAAATGGGAAAACAGATTAAGTGTACTGCTGGGGAGAAACTCTCCAGGCAGAGGGAAGAATAGGGCAGGCATGTCCTTGGCAGTACCAGGAACAGTCAGGGAACCAATATTGGGGAAGTAGAGTTATGAAGAGGGAGGGTAGTAGAAAATGAGGTCAAATAAACAGCAGCATGCCAGGTCACCTAGGGCCTTGGGGCCATGGTAGGGAATCTGGGTCCTGCTCTGAGAAGGGATGCCATTAAAGGTTTTGACAAGAGTGCAGTGGTCTGACATGACTTTTAAATTATGCCTCTGGAGGTTCTTCAGAGAATAGCTGGCAGAGGGACAAGAAGGAAAGGAGCTAGAACAGTTTGGAGGTTCTTAAAATAGCTGCCTATCTTGGACCAAGGTGGGAGCCTTGGAGGTGATGAGATGCTGGATGTATTTTGAAGGCAAAGCCAAAAGAATTTACTAATGGATTAGATGTGGCATGTGAGAGTCACAGAGGTGTGGGCAGAGACAAAAGTCAAGATTGATTTCAAGGATTTTGGCCTGAGATACTGTAAGAGTGGAGTTTGCCATTTGCTAAACTGGGAAGCTCAGCAGGAATTCAGTCTTTTTTTTTAATGTATTTTTATTTATTTGACTGCATCAGGTCTTAGTTGCAGCATGTGGGATCTAGTTCCCTGACCCGGGATCAAACCTAGGCCTCCTGCACTGGGAACGCAGAGTCTTAGCCACTGGACCCACCAGGGAAGTCCCAGGAATTAAGTCTAGGCATACTTCAGTGAGGTCTGAGATACTTCTAGACAACTGTGACAACTAATTTTATATGCATCCACTTGGAGAGTGTTTTTGAATGAGATTAACATTTGGATCCATGAACTCTAAGTAAACGGATTGCCCTCCATGATATGGATAAGCCTCTTCCAATGAGCTGAAGGCCGAATAGAACAAAAATGATTGCCCTTCCCAAACATGAGGGATTTCTCCAGCAGACTGCTTAATGCACCATCAATTCTCCTGGGCCCCCAGCCTGTTGGCCCACAATACAGACTTTAGATATTTCAGTCTCCATAATCAGGAGAGCCATTCCTTATAATAAATCTATCCGTACATATATATGTATGTATCTTCTTTGTCTGTTTCTCTAGAGAACACTAATACACTATTTGACACTGCAAACAGTAAGGAGCAGCTAGGTATGTACATCTGGAGTTATATGATTATATTCTTCGCAGCCAAAGATGAAGAAGTTCTATACAGTCAGCAAAAACAAGACTGGGAGCTGACTGTGGCTCAGATCATGAACCCCTTATTGCCAAATTCAGACTTAAATTGAATAAAGTAGGGAAAACCACTAGACCATTCAGGTATGACCTAAATCAAATCCCTTACTACTGTACAGTGGAAGTGACAAATAGAGTCAAGGGATTAGATCTGATAGAGTGCCTGAAGAACTATGGATGGAGGTTCATGACATTGTACAGGAGGGAGTGATGAAGACCATCCCAAAGAAAAAGAAATGCAAAAAGGCAAAATGGTTTTCTGAAAAGGCAAAAAGGCCTTACAAATAGCTATGAAAAGAAGAGAAGCGAAAGGCAAAGGAGAAAAGGAATGACATACCGTTTGAATGCAGAGTTCCAAAGAATAGCAAGGAGAGATAAGAAAGCCTTCCTCAGTGATCAATGCAAAGAAACAGAAGAGAACAATAGAATGGGAAAGACTAGATATCTCTTGAAGAAAATTAGAGATACCAAGGGAACATTTCATGCAAAGATGGGCACAATAAAGGACAGAAAAGGATCATTGAAAAAGCAAGAGAGTTCCAGAAAAACATCTACTTCAGCTTTATTGACTATGCCAAAGCCTTTGACTGTGTGGATCACAACAAACTGTGGAAAATTCTTAAAGAGATGGGAATACCAGACCACTTGACCTGCCTCCTGAGAAATCTGTAGGCAGGTCAAGAAGCAACAGTTAGAACTGGACATGGAACAACAGACTGGTTCCAAATTGGGAAAGGAGTACGTTAAGGCTGTATGTTGTCACCCTGTTTATTTAAATTATATGCTGAGTACTTCACGAGAAACGCTTGACTGGATGAAGCACAAGCTGGAAGCAAGATTGCTGGGAGAAATATCAATAACTTCAGATATGCAGATGACACCACCCTTACGGCAGAGAGTGAAGAACTAAAGAGCCTCTTGATGAAAGGGAAAGAGGAGAGTGAAAAAGTTGACTTAAAGTCCCACATTCAGAAAACTAAGATCATGGCATCTGGTCCCATTATTTCATGGCAAATAGATGGGCAAACAGTGGAAACAGTGCCAGACTTTATTTTTTTGGGCTCCAAAATCACTGCAGATGGTGACTGCAGCTATGAAATTAAAAGATGCTTGCTCCTTGGAAGAAAAGTTATGACCAACCTAGATAGCATATTAAAAAGTAGAGACATTACTTTGCCAACAAAGGTCTGTCTAGTCAAAGCTATGGTTTTTTCAGTAGTCAATGGATGTGAGATTTGGACTATTAAGAAAGCTGAGCACCGAAGAATTGATGCTTTTGAACTGTGGTGTTGGAGAAGACTCTTGAGAGTCCCTTGGATAGCAAGCAGATCCAACCGGTCAATCCTAAAGATCAGTTCTGAATATTCATTGGAAGGACTGATGCTGAAGCTGAAACTGAAACTCCAATACTTTGGCTACCTGATGCAAAGAACTGAGTCATTGGAAAAGACCCTGATGCTGGGAAAGATTGAAGGCGGCAGGAGAAGGGGACAACAGAGGATGAGATGGTTGGATGGCTCAATGGACGTGAATTTGAGTAAACTCCAGGAGTTGGTGATGGACAGGGAGGTCCGGCGTGCTGCAGTCCATGGGGTTGCAAAGAGTTGGACATGACTGAGTGCCTGAACTGAACAGTAAAATGGTGCTAAAGGATGAGACCACAGGATAGGGAGAGGTCCCAGGTCTCAGTGTGATGTAACTCCATTGTGTAGGAGTTGAAAAGTTGTAAAGAACTGGAAAAGACTGAAATAAGAAGCCAATACGGTAGGATGAGAAAAAAGAATGAGTGTGTCCCAGGAGACAGTGAAGAAAGTGTTAAAAGGGAGGGACTGACCAGTTGTGCTGAGTGTTACTGATAGAATGTGGAAAACATGCATTTTGCTCAGTTTAATTAGCAAATAGACCGAGTATGCAAAGGAGATACCTGCTGTAGTGATCAATGCAGAAACCATCTTTAAAGCTTTCTGGTGACCTCTGATTCTCCTTTTCCTGCAAAAGAAACCCTGTGTTCTGATGCCTCAAAGCTCCTTCTCTATTCTCAAATACACCTTCAGATGATATCCACACTTCAACTGTTGCTGTCAATGTATTGCCTAGATGATGCAAGTTGGGAATTCTAACTTGCACTTTGAATGATATACTTTTGACTCACTAAAAGCTATATAACCTGTTATTGAAGCAAAATATAACGCATGTTCAACAGAATTGAACTATGCACCATGGTAACTGCTGGAGATGGTGTGGGAAGAGAAACAGTCTTGACTGTCAAGGAAGGCACACATGGAGGAAGCCAGAATGATTTCTCAACACTGTGAGACATGTACTAGATACAAAAGGGAGGCACCTCCCTGGAGGAAGTTGGAAGATCAGTAAAATACACTACATATGGGAATTACATGATCACCATCTAGGGGAAGGATGCAATTGTGGCAGAGTCAATCAGAAGGTAGAATCAGTAGCCCCAGTGTTTGATGGGTTTAGGGGATCAGGGAGAGAAGTCTAGTCTAGTGGACTAAACACTGGTGTCATAGCATAACAGGCTTGGGGGACTGAGAAGGAGAGCAGAAAATAACTTTGGTTTGTGACTCTGTTGAGTTTGAACTAGAAGATATCTAAGTAGAGGTGTTCAGTTGTCAGTTGGATGCAAGGTCTGGGACTCCAGAAAGGAGATGGGGTAGGTATAAACATCTGGGATCAATCAGACTATGGCAAGGTCAATTCCAAGTGCACAGAAGAGTGTGTAGACTGAGAAGACAGGAGGGCAGAGGGTGGAATTCTGGAAAATTCTAACATTGAAGCCATGGCTAGAGAATTAGAAACTTACAAAGATGCTGTCAAATAAATGCGCACAGAGACAGGAAGCAAAAGCAGGGGAAAGCAGTATCATAGCCATGAAGAGAAGAAATTTTAAGTGAAAGTCGCTCAGTCGTGTCCGACTCTTTGCGACACCATAGACTATACAGTCCATGGAATTCTCCTGGCCAGAATACGGGAGTGGGTTGCCATTTCCTTCTCCAAAGCATGAAAGTGAAAAGTGAAAGTGAAGTCGCTCAGTCGTGTCTGACTCTTGGCGACCCCATGGACTGCAGCCTACCAGGCCTCTCCGTCCATGGAATTTTTCAGGCAAGAGTACTGGAATGGGGTGCCATTGCCTTTTCCGTGTGAAGTCCTAACAAATGTTAATTCTCTCCTCTGATTTAAGCCATTTCACCTCAATTACAGTTTGTCACGTTTTGTCTTTTTGGGAGTTACAAACTAATTTGAACTTGAAAGTCTTCTGTGTAAACACAAGTGTTGCCGGTCAGGGCAGCACGTGCCTCTACAGCTAGTCGTGTGTGCACAAAATCGAGTCCAAATCCAAACGCACCAGCTTTGACTGCGGCCGTTTAATAGAGCAAGACCAAGAACGCAGTCTGAAGGTGTCACTGGGCCCAGCTCGAACTTTTGCCTAGGCTTGGACGAAGGCGATCAGAAACCAGGGCCAGGGCCGGGGCCCGCATTCCTGAGTGAGTTGTTATTTATAGCCAAGGCTAGGAGACGCCAAAGCTAACAACAGCTGCGCTGTGACCTGGTGCCACCGCCATGCAAGCAGGTCTCACACCGCTCACCTTCACAGTCGGCGCCCGGGATCCCCCAGGCCTCCTGGCCCTGCACCCGCCCCGGGTTAGAGACCCAAAGTCCGGCGCAAAAGGCCACCATTGCGGCTGCGCCGCCGCACCACATGCTGAGCCAGCAGTTTCAAACTCCTCGCCACCTGCGAAAAGAACAGCCGCGCGGGTATCGCCCGCAGGACGAAGCGGCGAGGAGCCTGGGATGCAATGAATCTACCCGGAGTTGCTAGGACAAATGACGCAACTCAACCGTGAGTTTCCATTGGCTCTCAAGGAAAGGATATGGAAGGGTGGGACGAAGGAGCCTTTTCGTCCCCGCCCCACCCCCACCCTCCCCGACCTGCGCGTGCGCAATATAGCTCACGCCGTGCTGCCCCAGCGGGGCGGGGAGACACTCACTATAGCTAATCGCTGACAGGCGACAGAAAAGGCGGGACCTTCACGCTGATTGGCGGCGAGGCGGGCGGCCTCGGCGAGGGCAGGGGCACAGTGGGTGGGCGGGAACGTGAAGTGTCCGCGGTGCCTGATGGGGCTGTGCCGCGGCCCGGCGCTGTTGCTGCTGGGAAGCCACCCGTTAGTGCTGCCGGCTTCTCTGCCGCCTCATGGCGGCCATCGGGGTTCACCTGGGCTGCACATCAGCTTGTGTGGCCGTCTATAAGGTGAGGGACTCGGGGAGCTGGGTGGCGGTGCAGCGTCCTCTGGGTCCGAGGCCAAGTCCTTTGGTCTGTGGGGTTGTGAACGGCGTGTCGCCGGCCTAGGGACGTCGCACTGAGAGGCAATTCTGCGAGGAAGTCTCTGGGCTAAGGGCTGGGCGGACTCGGCCTTTTCCCCCGCGGCCCCTCAGAAAAGGCAGCTGCGGACCCAGCACATCCTGGGCTCAGGAGGACCCGAGCCCAGGGGCGGACCCAGGGACATTCTGGGCGCCGGAGGCCCCAGGGGCTGAGGCGGACCCGGGAACGTTCAGCGCGCTGGAGGCCCCGGGGGGTTGGGGGGCAGACCCAGGGACACGCTGGGAACTGGAGTCCCCCCCGGGGGTGGGGACAGACCTGGCCACGTCCTGGGCGCTGGAGGCCTAGAGGAGGAAGGCGGACCTGGGGACCTCATGGACGCAGGAGGCCGGGAGGGGGACCCGAGCGTCTGGTACCCGGAGGTTTCTGGACGTTTGCCAAGAAGGAGCAGGGTGGCCGCGATCTGGACCTGGGCCTGTTAATCCCGAGAAGCTTGCGAAGCCAGTTAATGGTGTGTGCTCTATTCACTTGTCCTTTCTGGAAATGAGTGTGTGACTAGGAGTTTAGGGCTTCTCGTCTGTGGGGAGGCAGAAGAAACAATAATAAGGGACAGCCCTGATACTCGTCTCACGGTTAAACGTCAAATGATTTGTACGGGAAAGCCGAAGAATTGTTGATAATTCATCATATGTAAAAAGAGGGAAGAAAGATGAGCGTTTACAGGGAAAAGGAAGAGAAATAGAAAGGTTAATGTATTAAGACGTTATTTTATATAGAGAGGTTATTATTATGTCTCTTCTGTTATCAACTGTTAAGAACAGACTGAAAAATGAGGCAGCTGGTTGTAGAATTCTGGTCTTATTAAGATGTAGGAAATACAGTAAAGCAGTTTTTGTTTCCACATATATGTCAGTTACAGGGCCCCACATATGTCTGAATGTATCTAAGGAGACTATATATTTCATTTCAAAAGAACTAATACAGTTGTGTATTTACCTCCAGGATGGCCGGGCTGATGTGGTCGCAAATGATGCAGGCGACAGAGTTACGCCAGCTATTGTTGCTTACTCAAAAAACGAAGAGGTACCGTTCTCCTCATTTTTATACATTGAAATAAGTATAAAATGACATGCATTGTAATAGATTGCTCTTTTTCAGATCGTTGGATTGGCAGCAAAACAAAGTAGAATAAGGAATATTTCAAACACAGTAATGAAAGTCAAGCAGATCCTTGGCAGAAGGTATGGAGTAAAATAATACTTTCACCTATGGTAACAAAAAACATGTTTATAATTTGAATGTAAGCATCATTTGAAATGAAACTAGAAACACCAGTGTGTTTTTCATTGTTTTTATGACTGAATCATTTCACAGAATTTCCCAGTAGGCTATCTTTTTATATTAGTGCTGAATTTTCTGAAAGATGGGATTCACGGAGACATTTGCTTCTCACTTACAGGTCTGTTAGTATTGGTAGATGCCAGTGTGCATTTAGTTTTGATAATTTGTCATTCAGAGGTGGCAGTTTGAACTTAGCACGTTTTTACAGTACTCTTTTTAAACTGGGAGATTGTGTGAGAATTAAAAGATTTCTTTGCATCATAGTTGAATTTTGTGAAGTCTATTGTAATTGGTGAATATTTATGTAGAAGCTATTGATTTTCTTCTTCAGATCTCTTTGTGACACTTTCTGGGAACTAGCTTTTCCAGTTGGCTTACACATTTAATCATTAGGGAAAACAGCTTAATTAATGTCTTAAGAATCAGGTTAATCATCTGCTATAACTTTAATTAAAAGATTAAAGAGGCCTGCTTCCCCAGACTTCTGTCTCCTCAAATTATAGATTACCCTGATAATTAGGGATTTTCATTGGACTTATAATACTTGATATAGTGTTTTTAAATTTTCAAAGTGCTTTCACATCTATTGTTTAATCCACTGAAATCCCTGTAAGATTGGTAGGGCAGATTTTATACCTCCTCATTTCTGGATAAGAAAATCAAAGCACGCAGAAGTTAAGGTATCCCTAAATTAGTTTAGGGGGGTGAGCTCTACAGGACTGTGGTCCAGGATGCCTAACTCTTAATCTCAGGTTCTTTCCTTTCTACCTTATTCAGGTGAGAATTTAAGTAGAAATTTCCTTGTGTCGTTTTAGGTTTGGGGAGTCATGTATTAAATTTGATATATATATAAATATATAATTTATACATACAGATTCTATCTCTTACCTATATTTAGGTAAGTTGAACTTGATGCTCATTTTTTTTTCTTTAGAATATCTGTGATTAAGTCAAAAACTATAGTGTTTTGGAGAGAATTCAAATTGTTGTGAAGATATATATATTCCCATATCCATTTATCTGTTGACTAAACTTAGTACTGAGCATATTGAAAATAAATTGAGTTGCTGTCAAAATTTTTCAAATTATAAACTGAAAAAAAAAAGGCAGAAAGTAAGCAGCCAATAATATATTTTTTAATTGAACTTTTTTTGGAGATAATGGTAGATTTACATATTGTTGCAAGAAATAACACAGAGAGATCCAGTCTATTTCTGGATTTATCATTTTCTCCCACTGGTAACATCTTGAAAAACTATACTATGCTATCACAACCAGGGTACTGACATTGACACGGTCAAAATCCAGAATAGTTCCATAGGTGCCTCTCTTTGGGAGCCCTTTTTGAGTTTTGTTGATATTTGGGAGCAGGTGGTGGAAATTAAGATGTGGATGTCTTCTGCCATATTAGGCAAAAAGCTTTGTATTAGTGAGAACAACTTTAGCTTGCTTTTCTGGCCTGAAAGTTACCTTTTAATAAAGGAGTGCAGTGGTGACAGTCAGATGGGTAGTACATAGCATAGCGTGCCACCCAGGGCGAGGTTAGGGAGGAATGAGCCCCAGCAGACACTATTGCTGCACCACGGTCCTGCTAGCCCTTCTCCAGCGTGATGTGCCTCGGGGTCCAGGCATCCCCGCCCCCGTTGATCTATCTACTTACAAAACAATGGTGATTTTTACAGATACACGGTGGTTCCAGGTCTCAGCCTTGGAAGCATCCTGCCTTTTGTGGAGAAGCCAGTCCCCTTGTTGCCAAGTCAGTAAGGCCCTTTGTAGCCCTTGGTCCAGTCCCCATCCTGAGCGAACTCCCAGAGTTGGGCTTTTCTCAGCCCTGGCATCCTTTCTCTTTGCAACCTACTTACAGGTAGCACCGCTTAACTTACTGCCACAATTATCCTTACACCGTTCCTGTAACTTTCATTCCCCTGTGGCCTTCCAGCCAGAAATGCGGTCCTCGGACCTGGCTTCTCAGGAATTAGCCCAGAGAGGGAAGAAGCGGCTGGCTCCTGGAGATAGACTGGAGCACACAGAAACTCCTCACACCTTCAGGTCGGCACCCTCCTGCCTAGGAGCCTCCTCCAGCTAGCCTTTCTTCCCCGTCCGCCATGGCCACTTCCAATAGCAGTGCGGGCATCCGGTGGTCCAGACAGGAGACACGGACGCTTCTCTCCATACTAGGCGAGGCAGAGTACATTCAGCGCCTGCAGACCGTGCATCACAACGCAGATGTCTATCAGGCTGTGTCCAAGCGGATGCAGCAGGAAGGCTTCCGCCGCACCGAGCGTCAGTGCCGCTCCAAGTTCAAAGTCCTGAAGGCGTTATATTTAAAGGCCTATGTGGCCCACGCCACAAGTATGGGCGACCCACCACACTGTCCCTTTTATGATACGTTGGATCAACTTCTCCGAAATCAGATAGTGACTGATGCAGACAACTTAATGGAGGACGCTGCTTGGGCCAAGCACAGTGACCTGAATTTAGCAGCCCCTGACACCCCAGGGGAGGAGGGGACCAGCATTCTGGGAGCAAAAAGGACTCAGGCAGCAGAGCATCAGTCTATTTTGAAAACAGTGAAGGAATCAGATGATTGTCAGCTGAGGGTCAGTGACCAGATGCCAGAAACCAGTGACCTCGAGGACTCCTGGGATGAATCCTCGGGTGCAGGTAACCCCCAAGCGTGTGAAGGGTCGGGGTCCCAGAGTCACTTGGTTCTCATCAGTGTGTGTTTGGATGGCGACCTCTTCAGCGTAGTCGCTATTTCAGCCCCTGCCCTCTCTTTTAAACCTAGTGGTGAGAGAAGGGGCTCCAGATTTTTAAAAGCTATAACCCTAGGTATGTATGATATTAGAACTCTTTTAAACCTCAAAGTATTCTTTAGAACCAAACTAGTTTGGGCATTATTTATAATGGGGACTTAGGAACTTGTGGCTGTAGAAAGGGTTGGATAGCTCAATGGAAGGCAGAGGGGGAAGTTTTGGACATACTATTGTAGCAGACCAAAATATCCGCATGAGAAAATGAATTCTTCCCCACCCACTGCAGAGAGATGCGTTGGTTTTGTCCTTGTCTCTCAACTCTGCGGCTGGCTCCAAGCATTCCCATAGCAGGAATGTCCTCTCTGCAACATTGTTGCTTTGTTTTTCAGGGTGCTCTCAAGGGACCCCCAGCTACAGCAGCTCCCATCACCTTTTCAGAGGTGCAGCTGCCCCCTGTCAGAGCATCCCCATGACCAGACTGACTGTGTCCGGTGAGCCCAGCCCCTGCTCCAGCTCCAGCCGAAACACTCACGGGGTGGCCTCCACACGGCGGCCTCCAGCCTCCTCCTCCAGGGCTCCTTTTGTCTCTGGTGGGGATAGACCTTTGACCACTGAGCCCCCTCCCAGGTGGGCCCGGCGAAGAAGGCGGTCAGTGGCCAGGACTATTGCAGCTGAACTGGCAGAAAACAGGAGGTTGGCACGAGAACTTTCAAAGCGGGAGCAAGAAAAACTGGATCGGCTGATTGCCATTGGTGAGGAGGCCAGCGCTCAGCAAGACACTGCCAACGAGCTCCGCAGGGATGCGGTGGTCGCAGTCAGACGGTTGGCCACGGCAGTGGAAGAGGCAACCGGGGCTTTCCAACTAGGACTTGAAAAGTTGCTTCAGAGGTTAATTTCAAACACCAAAAGTTAGGAGCTGATCATGCAAGGGTGTATTTCCTACACTGGCAGAGCCTGGGTCCAACCAATGCCTCCTGATACCCTGGCTCCTTTCTGTGTCCTCAGGCAAAAAAGAGTGGATGGACAGTTAATGTGTGGAATGGTAGGAACATATGTGCTAGTGGCTGCTCCCAGGTGTCTCCACTAGTTGAAAGACCCTTTAGAAATGCAAGGGGTGGCCCAGTAGAAAAATGATGCAGCCAAGTCCACAGAGCTAGCTAGCCCTGGCTTCATCACTGATGGGAGACGCTTTAGTTTACCTCTCTATACCAGCTTCCTCAGCTGCTAAACCTGCCTACCTCACAGGGTTGTTGTGAGGATCAGATGGCTGAAATAGATGTGAAAGGGTTTAAAAGCACTATATACATGTAAGTTATTAAAGCATATGACCTTGGCTGAGAGAAGGCTGGGGTGAGGCACAGTAGTTGACAAGATACAGAATTAGGGTTGTACACCGTGACCTCGTTGCTTAAATCTGCTAGTGTAACCTGACTGCTTCCTGGAGTTTACAGTCTTCATTTCTTAAAACCTCTCTAGTTCATTAGGCTAATGTAGACACAACATGTATTGGTCCCTTTTTATATTTGCTGTGTCTGTGACATAACTACTAGCAAGCGCTTAATAGTCAAACCATCTTTCCCTCCATTTTACTTGTCCTTAGTCTCTTATCTCTATGGATATGATTCAGAACTGATAGGAAGCCACAATTGTGCATTTTGGTTCATGTTGATAATCTTTGATACAATGAGAAATTGGCTGTCTTATAAAATACTCCCTATAAGTAAATTCTTTGCATTCCATGTTTAGGTTTTTTAATATTCATAATTATATATCTTTAGGTTTGGTTTGTCATTTGGACATCATGGAAACAATTTGGATTATATAAGCTTCCCAAATACTTGTAGCTAATTTTGTTCTTCTCTGTGTCTTTGTTTTCTGTCTAGTATGTTGCAGAAAGCAAGCCTGAGAAAATGTTTCTTCTAGGAAACTCTCTAAAGTTACTTTTTCTCACAAGGTGTTGACAAAAGTTCACCTTGTTAATGGCGTATATTAGAAGAGAATAGCTTTGGAAACAATTGAATGTGGTATGAATAAGGACAGCTTGCAACAGATAGCTCTTTTTAAAGCACCAGCCCTTCACAGATACATGCCCTTTTCTCTCTGAAACACACAAATTTCCTAGAGGAGATAAGATGGTATCGAGCCAGGCTTCCAAATTACTTTAGAAGGGAAGCCATAACTGACCATCATTAACCTGACTTAAAGTTCTTAGCAGTTATTTGGGCTTCCCAGGTGGCTCAGTAGTAAAGAACCTGCCTGCTGATGCAGGAGACGTGAGTTATTTCAGGAAATATAAAAAGCAGACTTGGAATTTAAAAAGCTTTCCTATAATCTAGTGGTGATGGTGGTGGTTTAGTCTCTTGACTTGTGTCTGACTCGTGATCCCATGGACTGTAGCCCGCCAGGGTCCTCTTTCCATGGGATTATCCAGGCAAGAATACTGGAGTAGGTTGCCATTCCTTCTCCAATGATCTTCCTGATCCAGGAATCAAATCTGTGTCTCCTGCATTGCAGGCAGATTCTTTATCGCTGGAACCACCAGGGAAGCCCTCCTGTAATCTAGAGACTGAAATAAAAAGTGCAGGCCTGTTGGGAGAGGTTTTGTTTTATATTTTGCAGCTCGATTGCTTACCTAAATGCTGGAAATACCATTAGGTGGAGAAATGGTCCAAACCACAGTGGGAACATCCCTGTAACCAGGAACAGATGGCAGGCAGGCAAGCTGCTCTGGTGAACGAGTGATTATGGAGGAGGTGTGAGGTAGACTACACTGGAATCAAGTTATAACTCCTGGGTTCTGATGCTGTCACGCTTTGTTACATTGAGCAAATCACTTGTCTTTTTTTGTGCCTCAGTTTCTTTATCTCTAAAGAGAGGTTTGTACCAGACGGCTTTTCTCGTACCTTCCAGAAAATTAGACAAATAGCATAACAGAAGACAAAGTGAAGTTTTGATTGTTGTGTTTTCAGTCACAGCAGCATATTAATATATGTTTGAAATGCTGCTATCAGTTGTATTTTAAGGAAAGATTCTACACTATTGATATTTATGACTTCTTATGGACTTCTGTTAACTCCACACCCAGACAGATTCCTTGCTTTTAAAAGGCCTGGAAATGGAGATTTTTTTTTTTCTGTGTTGTTTTAGGCCCTTATATAGAGGGATCCATTTCAGTTACAACTGGATAACACTACTGTAGATAGTTAGATTTTCTGAAAAATTAAGGAAGTACTTGAAAGAGTTAGGCCCGTACTCTATTAATCACTTAATGGTAGCAAAGTATCAGGCAGGGATTTACTGGAGATAAGAAGAGTGCTAAAGCATGGCGGCCAGGTTGAACTTTGGAGGCGGTAGTGTGCAGACCTGGCGGGTGAAGTGACTTGAAGGTGGGAATACAACTAAAGGGAAAGATCTTAAAGAAGTTAACAGGAAAACAGGCCCAGAAATCCTGCCTGAGCGCTAGGCCCAGCCGGAACTCCCCATCCGTCCACAAACAGGTCACTTCACCATTCTGTACCTCAGGCCCCTCTCCTCTGCAGTGGGAGGCCATCCCAGCTACCTCACAGGAGCTGCATGAGGACCCAGTGGACAGATGGCTGTAACAGGCTCTGTGCTGGGCGGGGAGGGGGAACAAGCCCAGTAGCATGTCAGTGTGGGGCGAGGATCTGCCTCTTGCAAGGGGCCCTTCAAGAAAGGGGAGGATGAAGGCCAGGGTACCCTGGTAGGAGTGATGCTCTGCCTCCTGAAGCCTGCAAAGTAAATGGTGCTGTGTATACCAGCCTCCCACCACCTTCTGTCTCTCTGTGAAGTGACTTGATCCTGGTGTGGACAAATAAAGTTGCTATCTGTACACAGCTGTGGGTCAGTCCACTACTTTCTGGCGCTACTGTGAACATTTGTCCATTATCTCCATTCTCTGCTTTCTGCTTCTCCACTGGCTAACCTCCAGGACCTTACCTCTCTGAGACCTTCAGAGCTACATGTGCTTTCTGTCCTCAAGTGAACGAGGTCCTCAGTTGGGAATTTTCCATTTCTAAAAGTTCTTTAAATCCCATTAATCCTATCAGGTCCAAAACAGCCATTTCTAAGAGTTCATTAAATTCCATTTAGAGCCATTAACATATCCTTTTCTGGCAGATTATCTGAGTGATAGATAACATACTAAGAGAAATCATCCTGGTTGACTTAAATTCTGTTCTAAAGGCAACAGAACCATTACATGTCAGGCCAACATTACAGCATTGATGGGGAAAAAAGTTACTATAGGCACACTTAGTCTTTTTTCTTATCCTTAAAATATTTGTCCAGGATACGGTATAAATACTGGGTTTAGAAAAGAGGGGAGAAGTTAGTGGAAAGAATACTAAACTTTATATGAAAGATCTGGATTCCAACCAGTTGTGGTATTAGCCATGTAACATCAGACAGACTGTTTACCTGTGATAGTGGAGGTGATAGGAGGAATTTACAAGTATTGCCAAGAAAGTTCTAAACCAAATTAATCCCATTTTAAGCCCCTTTCATTTCCCCCTTGTTCACACAGATTAGGGTTATGTGGAATTAATTAATTAATTAATTAATCCCATTTTAAGCCCCTTTCATTTCCCCCTTGTTCACACAAGAAGGGTTATGTGGAAGGATTGACCTCATCTTCGTTTCTAGATGAAATTAGGCCAAGAATCAGACTTTTATCCCTGCTTACGGCAAAAGTACCTTAATTGTTCACTGTCTTCACTGCAAGGCAGTCTATCTAGCCTGGTAGAGAAGACCCGGGATCAAGTACTGACTCTTCCCCTTGTCAGCTTGTAAGATTGTCTATATTACTCCTGAATACTACTTTCCACACTAACCCCCTCTTAAATGCTGGGAAGATTCAGTGGAAACATTTTGTAGTCTGCACTAGTCTGCATTAATTTGTATTACTGTTTTCAGCAACGTAACACCCATTGTCTTAGTTTTTTTCCTTGCCATACACATTTGTTGAGTACTTTGTATAGGACAGTGTCTATCTCCTTGTATTACTCTGTACTTTCACATATAATAATATTCATACTTTGCTCGGTGCTTTCAGGTTTCAGACACTGATTCACGTTCAGAAACCAGCAAAGATGTATTAGGTGTTCTGGTTGAGGTTTGACCTCCTTGTGTCCTTTCTGACCTCAGTGCTTTGGCTCTGAGATAGGATCAAAGATATGAAACTATAGGACTTAAAGCAATTGATACTACGAAAATACTCTCAAATGTATAACATCTGTTGGTAGTAAGATCGGAACAAGTAAGAGCTACTTACTTTCAAATGTGAAGATGAACGCTTTCATGGAATTACTGTAATTATATTTTTATACTTGTTGGTTTGAAGAATATAATCTTTAAAACTTACATGTCAATGATGATGATATAAATATTTATATTTGTCTCTATGGACAGCTCTGATGATCCTCAGGCTCGGAAATATATCACGGAAAGTAAATGTTTAGTGAGTATGCTTCTATTATTACTTCCCTGTTACACAAAGTCATTGCCAAGGTCATGACCAATTATATTGATTTGAAACTTTGTATTTTGTTAAAATCATTTCTTATTTTAACACACTTCTTTCACAGGTCATTGAAAAAAATGGGAAGTTACGATATGAAATAGATACTGGAGAAGAAAAGAAATTTGTCAGCCCAGAAGATGTTGCCAGACTGATATTTAGTAAAATGAAAGGTATTGAGCACAGGAAAAGATCTTTTCAAAAGTTGACCTTTTAAAAAAGCTCGAGGTGTTTTTTGATCTGGAGCAAATCAGGATGATTGAACAAACTGTGCAGTGAGGAGGCCTAAATTATGCTAGACCTGACTGGCCTGCTAACTGGCCATGTGACCTTGATTAGATGACTTCTTTTCCTTGACTGTGGTTTCCCCAGAAGAAATGTAAATGGATGGGGCCAGATCAGTGTTTTCAAAACTTCTAAAGATGAAGTGGCCCAGTAAGCTGGTGAAAAGTGAATTATTATATCTCCCTCAAGATAGTACAATCTCCACAGTGTTTAGGCAGATTAGATAGGTCTGGCTTTAGCACTTCAGGCAAAGGCTTGGAGCTGAGCAACCTCCTGTGGGACAACTTGAGGACTTCTGGAATAGATTGTTGATGGGGCTTACTTCAGCTCTGGAATCTGTGATGAAAGTAATGGATGGAGGGCAGCCTTTCATGGTAGTTGGTCTGCACCTTTGTGCATCAGAAACCCAGTCTCAGTGGAGCCCATCTCATTTGGGAGGTGGTTGAAACTTGGAAGCCTCAGAACCACGTGCATTAGAAAGTACCTAGTCACATGTCCACAAACTGTACCAAAACCATAGAAAATAGTGCACAGTTTAAGAGAGCAAGAGAAGAAGTTCAGTGGGGTGGGACAGCCTGACAAATTGGAAAATCTTTAAAATAAAAACATCTTTGGCATAAATGAATAAACCTCAGTATCACTTGACATTTTTGTGTATTGTCAGAATTTATGCTTTTCTTCCAGTTTTATTGAGATATAATTGACATACAGCACTATATAACTAAGGGGTATAGTGTAATGATTTGACTTATGTATGTCATGACATGATTACCACATTAAGTTTCATGAACTTTAAAAATTTTTTTTCATATACAGAAACGGCACATTCTGTCTTGGGCTCAGATGCCAATGATGTAGTCATTACTGTTCCATTTGATTTTGGAGAAAAGCAAAAAAGTGCTCTTGGGTAAGTATAATATGAAGTTTTTCTTGCTTAAAGGAAATACAAATTTCACAACATTGCTATATAGTAAAAGGTAAAATTGTATGTGAAAATACCTTACACAAAATGTTGTGTTTGTAAATCATGTATATATTTATATATGTAAATCCTGTGGTAAAAGTGTGGTAATAATCATTAATATTTCCTATATTTTATGAAGTGTCAAAAGAACCTGAAACTGCATGTATTAATATCTTCCTTGCTATTTTGATTGGAAACATTTGATGACCAGATTAACTTGATGATTGTGAATCACTTTGCCTTAGTGTATTGTAATTAAGGCTTATGTAGGAATTGTATAAAAATAAGCAATTTTAGAAAATATTTGAGTTTTTTTTTTAACCTAGATAAACATCTAAACAAATTGTATCTAGTTTTCATAGGTTGTTAGGCAAATGTAATTGGCAAGCACCCAGTCTTTTACTCTGTGGCTAGAGTTCCCTGTAGGGCTTTGCTGAACATCTGAGTTGCTTCTGGGGCACAGAGTTGCTTTGTTTACTTGTACCTGTGGAATGTTAAAGCTGTGAACCTAAATTAAAGAAATTGGAAATGTATTATAAATGTATTATAAATATGTATTGTATTAACTCTAAAATGAATTATAAATAAGTCCTAGTCTCTTTGTGAAATTTGTAAGCTCAAGAGTTTGGAGAGCTTTCTTTTCCTTAATATAGGCACATGTTGTCTTCTTTGTCAAGAAAATAGACTCTGAACATTATTATTTTAAAGAGAAATTGATCTCTACACTTAAAGACTTAGGTCTGTTTCTTGTGTTCTGTTATCTTGCTTCTAAAAGATCATTACCCTTCATGTTCTGCTTGTGAAATCTTATTTGCTATTGCATAAAATCTTTAGCAGAGCATTTCTGAAAATGTAGACTTGAACATGTGATACCAAATTTATTAAAAGCACATTGTCCACAGGGAAGCAGCCCGAGCTGCTGGGTTTAATGTTTTGCGGTTAATCCACGAACCATCTGCAGCTCTTTTGGCTTACGGAATTGGACAAGACTCCCCCACTGGAAAAAGGTAAAAACCATATTTTCAGCTTTAAGTTTTTCAGTGCAGAAAACATTTTAGATGATAGCATTTATTTCAATAGAGATTGTTATATAGTGCAGTCATTCCAAGCTTTTATAGATGGAAAGACATCAAAATTCTCACCTAGAGTTTTTCAAATAGATGAGAAAGGTGTCCTAGAAAGCAGAGAACAAATACAACAGGAGGGAAGGTTGCGCCCTTCTGCCCTTCTCTTATCATCTAACACTTTGTCCCTTTAGTGAAGGAAGATTTGCAGTTTATAAGCCAGCCAAGTTACAACTGAAGCTCTAGGACACTGTTAAGTTTACTACCAATTCGAATATTAAACATGCTTAGAAAAACAGTGAGGACTTTCATGTACATCTGTCTTGGCAGGAGATAACAGAAAAGCCAGCATGGGAATTTAAGATTTCATTTGATAATGAAATAGTAAGATGTACTCCTAATTTAATTATAAAGTGAAATGAAGTCACTCAGTCATGTCCAACTCTTTGTGACCCCGTGGACTGTAACCCACCAGACTCCTCTGTCCATGGGATTCTCCAGGCAAGAATACTGGAGTGGGTTGCCATTTCCTTCTCCAGAGGATCTTCCCAACCCAGGGATCGAACCCAGGTCTCCCGCATTGTAGGCAGATGCTTTAACCTCTGAGCCACCAGGGAAGCCAATTTAATTATAAGACTGGTCCTAATAGATCTGACACATTATGCAACTTTAGGGATGTCAATTCAGATGTGTTAATTTTCCCTAATTGTATCTTTTCATTCATATCTCACAATTAAAGAAACTAATATAAATCACTAGGAATTTAAGTAATCTAAAATGCAGAATATCAGAAATTTTGGGTTTTGATTCCTAGGAAATTAATGCCTAGTTTTGCATATGTTTTAACTTTTGTGGAACATGGGTATTGCAGTAATAACTAAGACAGTATTAACAAAGTTTCTATATTTAATGCTCTTAGAGTTACTTTAATTGCAAATCTCTTTTTTTATTTACTTTGAAAAGTTAGTATCTTACACTCCAGTTAGTGAGAAAGAATACAATTTTACCAGCAGGATTAAATAAAAATGAGCTTTGACTTAAAATCAGAAGATCTGGTTTCTAGGCTTGATTCATTCCTAAGCAATAACCATGGACAATTCAGTTTTTCCCATAAGAGCTTCAGTTTCCTCATTTGTGATTTACAGGAGTTAAACTAAATGACTTCTTAGTTTAAGAAATCAAAATTGGCTTTACAATACTATGATTCTCTCATAACTTACTTGTGTTTTTTTTTTTTTTTTAAGCAATATTTTGGTATTCAAACTTGGAGGAACATCCTTATCTATCAGTGTCATGGAAGTTAACAGTGGAATATACCGTGTTCTCTCAACAAACACTGATAATAACATTGGAGGTACCCACTTCACAGAAACCTTAGCACAGTACCTAGCCTCTGAGTTTCAGAGGTGAGTATTAATGGACTTGATATGTTTGATGATAAACCTGAAATTTAGCTTCAGGTTTAATTTTTTCCCCCCAATTTATTTGAAATTGTCCTTTCAAAGGAAGGCATGGTTTTTCCAGGGCACTGGATATTTTCATGTCTGAAATTATAAAATCTGTCCTGGTAAACAGGGGAAAGCAGAGGCCCAGCTGCCTAGTATACTTAGAGTTTTCACTCAGTGTAAGGAGCCACCAGACACTGAACTGCGTGAACTTGGATCTCAAGTTCAACTTCCTAACTCGTCAGTGGTTGCTTTTATGTTTGGGTGAAGGAGGGTAAAGGCAGTAAGGCCTCACTACCTTCTGAACAGTTTTTATAGGTATAAAAGATAATGTTGTAGTTAGATTCCAGTGAACCAGTCTTATGGGGTATCTATTACCACGAGGACTATTTTAGTTTTGTTGCTGGATGTAATTATTCCATTCAGAATTCTAATCCTGTTTGTCACATCATGAGTCAAATATATAAAGGTTATATTTGGGACATCACTACTCTAAAAAGTAGGGTTTTCATCAGTTTGACTACACTGGGTTAAAAAAAAGTCCTGAAAAAGTGGTAATTTCTCATTTGTTCAATAAAGACTTATGTTGCTTTTTGTCATAAAGGTGTTCCAACTCAAGGAAAGTGAAAGTCACTCAGTCATGTCTGAGTCTTTGTGACCCCATGGATTATACAGTCCATGGAATTATCCAGGCCAAAATACTGGAGTGGGTAGCCTTTCCGTTCTCCAGGGGAGCTTACCAACCCAGGGATCAAACCCAGGTCTCCCTCATTGCAGGTGGATTCTTTACCAGCTGAGCCACAAAGGAAGCCCCTCCAACTCAAGAAAGAACACTTATTAATTTTATTATGGGTTTTAAACATGTTTAAAAACAGATCCATCAGTCACCACTTAGCTAGCAATTTTAACAGTTAACTCACCTTGGAGGTAGAAGAACTATAATTTTACATATTTTATATGTTTCAAATTTCTTTGAAGAAGCACTTTTAGTTTTTTTTTTTTAATGCTGGACAGATAATTCTATGCCATTCAACAAGAATCATGTTAATGGTTGTAAAGGGTGAAGTATGAGACTTGACCCAGTTGCATGCATCTCCTTCCGTGTCCTTTTGTCTCATCTGCAAAAAGATGACGGCTCTTGTACTTCTTCACTGCAGTCCATAACTGTGGTTAAACAATCCAGCAATTCAGAGTCTTAAGGATATTGGTTATTTATTTTTCCTGAGACCCCTCTTCAAATTCTCTTTCTCCAGATATTCTGAAAAAATAAAATCTGGTATTAATATTTATTCTTGAGCTTAATTTATTTTTTTACTGGCCTTGTGGCACAGCATCCAGGATCTTCCCAACCAGGGATGGAACCTGCATCCACTGCAGTGGAAGCACAGAGTCTTAACCACTGGACGCCAAGGAAGTCCCTGATTCATGAGTTTGCAGTTATCCTAATGGGGATTATCCAGGTTTTAATTACAATAAATTCTAAATGACCTAGTAATTTTTAAGCTTCAAAGACTGTATTTCTTATTTAGATCCTTCAGACATGATGTGAGAGGAAATGCCCGCGCCATGATGAAGCTGATGAACGGTGCTGACACTGCAAAACATTCTTTGTCAACCTTGGGAAGCGCCAATTGCTTCCTTGACTCATTGTATGAAGGTCAGGATTTTGATTGCAACGTGTCCAGGTAAAACTGCAGTTCGAAAAACTTCAAGAAGTTACAAATGTATTCACATTTAGGTGTGATTTTCTCACTTCAGGGTTTTCATTTTCTCATTTGAGATGTTTAGCTCACTATAAAAGGAGAGTTTTTCTGTCTTTACTTCCAGGGTTTTCAGCTCTTGTCAGACTAAATGACTGTTTCCAAAACAATCATGTCAGTGGTGACTGCCCTGTTATGTTATACCTACCAGGAGCAGTGTGTGACAGGAGCATCCCAGGACTTTGAAAGAATGATGAAAGGAGACTTGAAAGCTTGAGATTTGTAAATTTCCTTTCTTGACTAGCAGTCCCACCTGTATAGTCCCTAGTTCTTTGTGGAGCTTCCACATGCATCAGTGGTTGTTTACTATTTCATCGTTACTCATGTGTGGCAGGCTGTATTCTAAATTCTTTCTTATGTATTAACTCTCAAATTCTCATAACAACCCAATGAGGTAAGTGCTGTTGTTTTCCTTACTTTTCACAGGAGGTTTCATTTCTTGTCCAAGGTTATTCAGCTAGTAAGGGACAGACCTGGGATGCAAACCCAGCTAGTTTGATTCCCAAGTTCGTGCTCATCACCTGTCACCTTACTCTGAGGATTAATCTCTGTCTTGATTTTATTTGCTTTGTCATCCGTTGGCAACATTTTAAATTTTAATAGCTTTTGTGACATTTAGTAAACACAAATTTAATGTGCATAAAATTGTTTTTAATGCTCATATCTTTTCCATAATCCAAAACATTGGTTACAAATGATTGCACCTCTACCCAGGAATGGGTGGGGGAGACCATTGTCCTCTCGCTGTGTGTTGTGTATTACTCACAATACTAGTAGCTACCATGAGTTAGCACTATTTAAACCTCCCAACAAGCTAACAGGTGACTTGGAAGCATAGTGAATATCCAGAATACAGTAATACATTATTTTTAGGCTTTCTACTCACTCTGTTTGGTTAAATTCTCTCTTTTCTGGCCCTTGTAGCTTGCTCCCTCTGTCTCCTTGGGTTTTCCTCCATTCCAGGTCAGCACTGCCACCAGTGGCTATTTAAAATTTTTAGTTAGTTAAATAGGTAAACAACATTAAAAATTTGGTTCTTCTGTAGCATTAGCCAGAGTTAAGTGCTCAGTAGTCTCAAGTGGCCAGTGGCTCCAGGAAGTTCTCTAGATATGTTAAGAGATTTCAAGCTACAACCTAAAAGAAAGTTGTTCCATTGCATTTTAATCTCTGGTGGGCAAGAGAGTCTTTATATTTTTTCTCTTTCCAGAATATTTAACTTAGTGCTAAGTTTGTCCAAGTACTCAGTAAATGTTTGCTTATTTGTATCAGTTATTAAGAAGGAAATAGAATTTGTCATTTTATTTGCTAACATTCAGGCGTCTCAGGGGGTGCAAAATAACCAAACTTAAATGTAGCAGAGGCTCAGACCATAAAGAAAAGTAGTGAGAAACACTTTTTAAAACTTTAAAACATAAAAATAGCAAAAAATTTCCAAATTATGGTTTGATTTGAATCAATAGATTTATTGGTAGAAATGCCATACACTGAGAATTTATATTTAGGTTTTTTGACAGCTTATAAGCAGGCTATGGGTATGATAATTTTTCTATGTGAATTTAATATTATATACATTTGTAGATGAATAACCTAGACTTTTTCCTCCCATGATATTGCTCTGCTGAGTGTTTAATATCCTGTTCTGATCATAAACCTATTCTTAAGAGATCTATCACAGTAAGTTTTGACATTACCCTTTACAAGAAAAAGATGTCGTGTTTAACTTATTTCTGCTGTCTCTTCTGTGTTTATGTGTTTTTACAGAGCAAGATTTGAACTTCTGTGTTCTCCACTTTTTAATAAATGTATAGAAGCAATCAGAGAAGTCTTAGAACAAAGTGGATTTACAGCAGATGATATCAACAAGGTAATAACTTTTGTATTTTTCCTATTTATGTTAGGAATAGTTTTCGACTGGAAATTTAGGAAATGGCCCCTTGCTATTGAAAGAGTATTTTTATATCTGTAAATATTTTCTTACCTTACATTAGGAAATAAGGAAATTGATAAAATTTTGATTAATGGCTCTAATGAACTCACAGTTCTGTTTATTAGCAAAAAAGATTAAAGTTCCTTTTCAGTGTATTTTTGGTATATAAGCAAAAACTGACAAATATTAGAATGTTTCTTAGGTGTCAGGCACTGTTTCTGAGTGTTTTACATGGAATAACTTGCTGTATCTTAACCAGGAACTCTATGAAGTAGGTGATATTATTTACCTCCATTTTATAATTGGAGGCACAGAGGTACAGAGATATAAGTAGCTTCATGGAGATCATGTGGCCAGTGGTAGAACCAGGATTTAGCTCAGTATGGTTCCCAATTCTGCTTTTAAGCAGTACAACAGTCTCCTTCTCTCTGCTTGCTGAGAAATATTGCATATTTGCTTGCATAAGAAAAGATTTAGAGATTTTCAAAAATATTCCAGCTGGTTTGTAGTTTTTTTCCCCAAGGTTATTTCTACTCTTTTACAATGTATATACATTTTTTCATTGTTGTTGATAAAGGAATTTTCATATAAGAAAATTCAGAGACCAGTGTCTGTCTTTATAATAAACTTGTCAAATTTGTTGCACAATTTTGAATTTTATGTTCCTTATATAATATTATAACCAATTTCTTTGTTCATATTACTATATAGCCTTCATCAACACAATTTTAAGTAGACTCTTGGACTTCCCCAGTGGCTCAGTGGTAAAGAATTTGCCTGCCAAATCAGGAGACATGGGTTCAATCCCTGGTCCTGGAGGATCCCACCTGCCACTGAACAAGTAAACCTGTGCACCATGACTGCTGAGCCTGTGCTCTGGAGCCCTGGGATCACAGCTGTGTAGCCAGCGCACCCTGGCGCCTGTGCTCCACAGCAGAGGCCTCACCTGTGCACCGCAGCTAGCGAGCAGCCCCGCTCTCCGCAGCTAGAGGAGAGTGCATGCAGCAGCAGAGACGCATTTAAGAAATAATTTTAAATAGGCTCGTAATACTCTAGAAAAGGAAGAGCACCATAGATTATTTCATTGTTCTTTTGAACTCCTCCCCAGAAAAGTGATGCCCATCTCTTCCTATGTTTAAGATTATTCTTTGGGATAGGTTTCTATAATAAAAATATTGAGTCAAAGAATATAAATAGCAGAAGTCTATTTTTACCTTCAGTTACTTTTCAGAAGAGCTGAATTAACTCATACTTTCATCAGCAGTGTATGAGAACAGACATTTTAGTATAACATTGCTGACACTGAGTTTTATCATTTAAAGATAAATTTTCCATTAAGTAGTTGAAAAGAGATATGCTTTTACTTTATATTTTATTGACTATTATAGGATTCTTTGAGAACATATTATCAAAGTTGCTAAATAGTAAATGTTTAGTTTTGTATTTCCTTATGTGTAAATATTTCATATTCTTTGTTTAGTCAATTAAATCTTAGGGTTTTTTAAAAATTTATTTGTGTAAATACTCTGTATAATCAGAAAATTAACTGCTATTTACTGCACCCTTCTTTTGAGGCATGTAGTTTACTGTTGAATTTTGGTTCTGTTAGGGAGGATGGGTATTTGACACTGAGGTTCATTTATTGATCTGTTTAAATCTGTTGGTCTGTTACCCATTTCTTCAGTTGCTTCTGAATTTACCAATTCCATCTTTTTTCAAGTGTTTGACAAATATTTATTACTGTTTTCTTTTAATTTGCTGTAGTTTGAAAGTTTTATATTTTCACTATTTTTGTGTATGTTGTGACATGAAAGTTGCATTCTTTTGTCTGTTTGTAGAGGTTTTAGTTCAGTTGGGTTTTTGGTTTTTTGCATACATATGCTATGCATTGTGGTAGGTGAGTGGGAGGTGACTTATAAAGATGAAGGCACATGGTATAAATGATACAAGGCAGTGGTGGGAAGGGAATGAGCTTGGAGACAGATGCAGCTGAATTGGAAAGCTCACAGTGCTAATAGTTCCAGAATAGACCAATCACTTAATTTCCTGAGCCTTACTGTCTCTTCTTCTTAGGAGGGTGATAATATTTAACTTTTAGGTAAGTATTATAAGTATAACTTATTCTATAGGGTTATGAGGATTAAATGAAAACCATGTATGGCACAGGGTGTGACGTACCATAGATGATCAGTTAATGTGAGTTCTCTTCCTTCATTAACTGGTCATACAACCCTGACATTAGATATCACAAATGGTACAATCCTCAATTGCTTGACTGGAGATCAAGAACATTCTTAGAATTAAGGATTTTTTTTTTTATTGGTGTATAGTTGCTTTACAAAGTTGTGTTAGTTTCTGCTGTATAACAGAGTGAATCAGCTGTATGTATACACTTACCGCCTCCCTCTTGGGGAGGCGATCACCCCTCAGGACATCACAGAGCACTGAGCTGAGCTCCCTGTGCTATGCAGCAGCTTCCCACTAGATACTTCCAAAATTCAAGCTTTTGAGAATTTAAAAATATAGTGTTGTCTCTGTAGTTTGTTGACCTTATAACAGTAATGAACAAACCCCAAGTCTCACTGGTTTTCTGTAGTGAACAGTTTTTTCTTGCTCATGTTCCACATGAGCAGCTGAAGGTGGCCATGGGTCTACTGCTTTGGCATTTTCCTGTGTGCTTCTCACTCCACGACCCAGGCTAAAGGAGCAGCTCTCATGGTGGAAGGGAAAGAGGAAAGGAGCTGGCAGAATATGCAGGGCTTTTAAAACATCTGCTTAGATATGTTGTACTCCAGTGTATTCACATTCACCTGGCCAAAGCTAGGCCCATGGCCAGGCCTGAATATGGAGCAGAGAAATAAAAGGGACAGGTTGCAGTGTCAGGGCAGTGGCTGTGGGTGGGGATGTATAATCCTCTTACTGGGATAGAGGGAGAAAATGATGGGCTTTATATTCACTGAAACATTTAATCCTGGCAATATTCACTGAAACATTTAATCCTGGCAAAGGATCAGGAAATCAGCTCTCCATTTACAGATGAGGAAACTATAGGGTTTGCCAAGAAGTTCCTTTTCGTAAGCTGTTATGGAAAAACCTGAATGAACGTTGTGGCCAACCCAATAAAAAGTTTCCAGAGAGGGTAAGGACTTTCCCTGAAGTCATGCTGGCATGTAAGTGATAGAGTCAGGATTGGAACTCAGACCCTCGGCCTCCATAACCAGGGCTCTTTTTTTACTCTTACATCATTTTAAACTTTGTCATTATAAGTAAAGAAAATGTTAAATATTAACAGTGTACTAAATGCATGTTTATATGTGTATATTTTATATAAGTTTAAAATAGTATGCTAAAATAGGGCTGCTTATATTTTACCATTTCATGTGATGAAGATGGCCTGTTACATCTAATTTTGAGAAACAATCATTGTTCTAAAAGTAAAAAACTGAAAATTGTTTTTTAGGTTGTCCTTTGTGGAGGGTCTTCTCGAATTCCAAGGCTACAGCAAATGATTAGAGATCTTTTCCCAGCTGTTGAGCTTCTCAATTCCATTCCTCCTGATGAGGTCATCCCTATTGGTGCAGCTATAGAAGCAGGAATCCTTATTGGGAAAGAAAGCCTTTCAGTGGAAGATGCTCTTCAGATAGAGTGTTCGGCCAAGGATATTTTAGTTAAGGTATATTTAGCTTGTCTTTACTTTTCCATACATAGTATAAAGTTATTGCTACAGGTTTACATACATATGGTTTTTAAAATAAAACCTTGTATACTGGTAAGAATTTTAAATTTAGGTTTATAATTTTACTTGTAATGAGTTTCTGATATTCTTTCAGTTGATATTAATCTGTTAGTTTCTTAATTTGCTATCATTTTAATCATAAGCTTTTAATACAGGTTGAAAAGTGTATGTTTCAATTTATTTGTAAAGTGGGCTGGGATTAAGGATCGGTTCTATTTTCTTCTCTTTGCTGCTTTATAGTGTTGAGATTATCAACAAGGAATATATTGTCATTTCTAATAGGAATGATTTTTTTCTCATTGTAATGATATCAAAGGATGTGCATATTATTTTCCTGCTTATTAGGGAGTTGATGAATCAGGAGCCAACAGCTTCAAAGTACTGTTTCCATCAGGGACTCCTTTGCCAGCTCGAAGACAACACACATTACAGGCCCCTGGAAGTATATCCTCAGTGTGTCTTGAACTCTATGAGTCTGAGGGGAAAAACTCTGCAAAAGTGGAAAACAAGTTTGCACAGGTGAATGTATCAGATTATACTATGAATTAATCACATGAAACTGTTTAGCTTTTCCTTCTGGTTTAGGCTCAGTTAACATTAATTCATAAACTGTGCATATAGGACATTTAACACTTTTTTTTTTAAACAAAACTTATTTAGACAGGCTGAAATGATTATATGCTAATTTGAACAGGTAATCTGTACAAAAAATTTTCATTTTTTATTTCCTTCATGTTGGATTCCATCATGTGTGCTTTGTTCTTTCTTAGACCTTGAAAAAAAAAATACAGTCTACTTTTTAACCAGCCATTTATTCCCCTCTTTGCCTTGTTTAGAAATTCTTAGGATCCCTCAGACAGTTCCTTGTGGAATGAGCTTTCCTCTTCTCCCCCAGCCAGCCCCAGTGGGTTCACCTTTACAGGCTCTGGGACTAGGACAGGAAATAAGACATGAATGTTTCTTCACTGGGATTAACACATTTTTATGAATGGATTAATTGTACTTATTCATTTTGGAAAGAGAAGAAACAAGCTATTTCAATTTGAAAGAGGAAAAGGAAAACAAAGTACAGTTGTGTTTCTACTGCTCTTTGTGCTCTCTAACCTCCTTGACAATAAGGTCAGTGGCAGGGGAAATGACATTTATTTGTTTGCTAAATGCCAAGTGTGCTCTACTAGGCAATTTACAAACATAATCCCAAGTGCTATGAGATAGACATTGTTGTGTGCATTTTATAGGTGATTAAGAGACAGGCTCATGATAGTAAGTACCTTGTGCTTGATTGAGCTGAGATTTATCCTCAGGTTGGTTTTACTCCTGAGCCCATGCTCTTGCCATTGCACCATGCTGCCTCTGACATAGGATAAGTTTGCTTTTTCAAATACTACATGCTTAGATCATATGATATGGTCCTCTATATCATTTAAAAAGTATCAGGTGGAGCCATGTAATTTGCTTAGAAACATGCCCAAGAAATAATGGACTTCCCAAGTGGCACAGTGGTAAAGAATCTGCCTGCCAGTGCCAGAGACACAAGAGACCTGGGTTCAATCCCTGGTTTGGGAAGATCCCCTGGAGTAGGAAATGACCAACCATTCCAGTATTCTTGCCTGTGCTCCTTCAGCTAGTAAAGGTTTCAAAGCTCCTCCATATGCTTCTGCAGTATATCACTATAAAAGTACTTTGCTGTACACCAGGCTCTAAACTCAGATGGAAGTCTAGTATTCATCTCTTGAATCAGAGCATTTCTTACATTTTCTCTGGACACACTACTCTGAGACTCTGCAGCTACCAGATGCTGGAAAGGAAAAAACTAGTCACATAATACTGAATTTGGAAGAGAATCTTCTACAGATTCCATCTGGTCTAACTGCCTCAGTTTACAAATGAGTAAACTTGGTGTTTACCTAAGGTCATAAAATTTGATGTTGGCAAAATCTGAAAAGTCACTTTCAAACTTGCTCTGTTGGTATGCCTTTCTTTAGGAAACTGAGGAATTTTATAGTAAATCCATTAATAATTCTTACTTAACAAACGTAATCATACTAGTACAAAAGAATTTGACACATATTTCTTTTAAATGGTTTTTTCAAGTGCTTTTAAAATATTTGAATTTTTTAAAGTATATATAAAAGGCTTGCCAAAATGTAACGTACACATTACTGTAATGGTGTAATCACCAAAAAGAAAAACAGTCTTTATTTTCTGAGACAAACAGTATCATTTTAATCTAGGACATGACATTTAAAAGGGACAAATAATGTTAGTTATCTTCCATGCCCTCCTTTTAGAGGAGACGTGTCAGTTAAGAAAGCTTAATTCTATGCTCTGAATTATGATAAATGGTAAAGAGGAGACGTGTCAGTTAAGAAAGCTTAATTCTATGCTCTGAATTATGATAAATGGTAAAAGAACTGAAAACAGCCCTGTTTTAAAAGTTTTTTTCAGTAATGAATAAGATTTAGTTCATTGGAATAATTGATGCATCAATTTATTAATGCCAAAATACTGAATCATCTTTGTATTATTTTTGCCTAAACAGGTTGTGCTCCAGGATTTAGATAAAAAAGAAAATGGATTACGTGATATATTAGCTGTTCTTACTATGAAAAGGTAAAAAATTAATGTACTTCTGATGTTAAGAAAATTTGCTTTGAGATTCTACCTTTTTTTCAATTGATTCTTTCTGTTGTCACTCTGAGAAAATCATTTATTAAAAGCTTATAAAAATCTTATCAGTAACTTAAATTTTTCCCTGTAAAATTAACTGTATTTACAAAGAAAAGTATATCTCAAGTCATTAGCGTTCTGAATTCTTTGTTACTTCTTTTATTATTATGGGGGTAGTCAACCTAAAAAACTGGTCCATGCAAGTTTAAGATATAATTTTTATCAACTTTAAATATGATTTCCTAAGGTTTACATAATTGATTTTTGTCCTATGAAAGGGTAAGTTTATTTCAGTATTTCAACAGGAAATCTATAGGAAATATAATAGTCCATCCATAATACTATGTCTTACAAGTAAATCATTTCCAAATCAACATTAAGGGTAATTTATTCCATAAATCATATTTAGCCAGAATGTAGAATTCATTAGGGTAGATCTATCATGGCCCAGGATTGAAAACAACTTGATGTATCTTGAACTTGCATAAAGTTTTCAACTCAAGGTCTTCCATCATCTTGGGTTCTCAAGGAATACAACCTTCATCATAGTGACACAGAAGGAAATTTTTAAAGAACAACTACCTAAGTATGGCATATGATTCTAAATGTAAAGACATGAAGTTGTGTTTCAGTTATTTATCTCTTAATATGCTTTATTTTTATTTTTTTTAATATGCTTCTTTTAAAAGGTAAAATGATCTCTTGTTTATTTAAAGTCCTCAAGTAGTTTCTTACGAACTTTCTGCTTTTATAAATTGAGCTTATGAAGTGTTACTATTTTTTGTTTGCATAGGGATGGATCTTTACATGTGACGTGCACAGATCAAGAAACTGGAAAATGTGAGGCAATTACTATAGAGGTGGCATCTTAGTATTTTAGAGGAACCATGAATTTTTTAAATCTAAAATGTCAACATTATTTCATTTTGTTTAAGAATGTTTATATTAAAATACTTTTCAAATGACCTGTATGATCTATGTTTCTATTAAACTATAGTATATTGTTAAGTGTTGCAAACTTTTTTTTGTTGTTTTCCACTTAAGATTTCCATTATTAGTGGGAAATACAAGGAACTTTTTCTATCATGAACCTACTTAGAATAAAATCAAGTGGCTTGAAGAAAACTTTACCAGAAATTTAATGTTGCAGTTAAATATATTTTCTGTCTTTATAACTTCTAATTTTAAGAAATTCTTATTAATCAGCTAAGAACAGTTTAAAAGTCTTCGATGTTAAATGAAAGAAATCACAGAGCCATGTGCAAAGTAAGATACCATTTTTGCTTAAAAAAAAAACAAACACAACAATTGTTTATAAATCCACACGTGACACATGTAGAAAAAAGGATGGACAACTGAACACCAAACTCTTAACAGTGGAGGGAAATACATGGGATGCACTTTTTATAATTATCTTAAGGTTGATTTTTTTTTCCCTCCAACAAACATGTTTTTCATTTGAAATTCAAAGTTTTTTTTTTATTTTGAAGAAAAGCCTAGCCACTTTCTATTCACCAAAAAATGCTGACTAGTGCATTGAGAATAGTTAGGCAGATAATAAGGAAAAAGGTTTTTCTCTTAGTAAAACAAGACAACTAATCTGCCTGTATTGAAGAGATAGCTTGAAGGTGAGCCATGTGCATCAGGCTCTAGATTTCATTACCAAGGGAGGATTTTCCACTTGTTTCTTTCCTTGGTTCCCAGTGGACTTGAGAAGGGGAAATATCTTTACCCAGTAAAATTTTAAAACTCTGCTGTTTTTTCACTTGTTCAAGACTTTGAAATGTGATTTATTATTACCGTTGATTTTTATGGAGACAGATGACAGTAATCTTCTATTTCTTAAATGGAGAAACTAAACTTAAATCTATTATTCTGCATCAAATTATGGACAGAAGCACCAAGGAAAATTCAGGTATGAGTCTAATAAGTCCACAAAGAGGCAGCCTCAAAGGTCTGTCCTTTGATTAAAGGCTAAGCACTTAGTTATCTTTTATTTTCTTGTCCAAAGTTTTAAAAACTTTGAAATAAAGGACTTCCCTGGTCATCCAGTGATTAAGAATCCTCCTGTCAATTCAGGGGACACAGGTTCTACCCTTGGTCTGGGAAGATCTCACATGCTGCAGAGCAACTAAGCCCATACATCACAACTACTGAGCCCATGATCTAGAGTCCATGAGCCACAGCGAAGACTCAGTACAGCCATAAATAAATAAATAAATAAATAAATAAATAAATAAACAAAACTTTTTAAAAGACTTTGAAATAAAATGATTATATATATAGAGCTATTAAGTGTTTCTAGAATTTAAGAAAATACCAGCTGAACTAGTTGAACTGCTACATCTGCTTTCAGTTATGCTTTGGAAAAGTGCTGTAGCATTTTATTTTGTAGCTATAATTAGCTGTTTAGACAAGGGGTTGGCAAACTATTGGCAGTGTGTCTGTCCTACCCTACACCTGTTTTTGTCAATACAATTTTATTAAAACATAGCCACACTCAACCGTGTAGGTATTGTCTGCGGCCATTTCTCACTATAATGGGAGCAGGGACTGTGTGACCCACAAAGCTTTAAATATTTACTGTCTAGCCCTTTACAGAAAACATTTGTCAACCCCTGAAATAGATTAGTGAAACTTACAGAGAAAAATATAAGCATTTATCCAAGAGTTTTCTTTCCTTCCATATCCAGGTAATACTTTACTTATTTGACTGCTTTCTCCACTGGATTATTAAGCATTGTGAGAGCAGCAGACTCTCAGTCTAAGATACCACTGTATCCCAACCCCCAGAATAGTCCCTGAACTATGTTCTTAAGAGTCAACTGTACTCCCAAATTTTCTTACATCCACAACTGACAAGATTTTTTTCTTTTTTGAATTTGTGGAAGATTTGCCAATTAAACTTCCTAGTGTTTTGTTTTTTCTTTTAATTTTTCAAGGTGAAGATCCTTTAACATTTTTCTGATTATAAAATGACATACTCATTATGAAATTAAAATTAAAGAAGCAAACATAAAACATCCTCTAGCACCTGGAATAACAAATGTTAAGATATTTTAGTGAACATCTTGATAATCTTTTCATTCACTTACCAACCATTTTTGCAGTGTCTCATGTACATTAGAACACTTGAGCACTTTTATTAGCAGAAGATTATGTCAGATTATAATTTTGCCTGCTGACACACCTGACATTGTCTAAAGGACAGAGCCAAATACAAAAAGAAATGCCTGTATACAGTATGATACCTAATAATACACTCACAGTATATATATTACTGTATATATATTCACAGTATATATAATACTGTGAAAGTCTTAGGTCACAAACTATCTCATCACAGTTTTTAAAAATTGAGAAAACAGTGTCAGAACACAAAACTAGAGGGAATGCCAGAATTTCTAAAATAAAGTGATCATGTAACATTTACAATAGTATTGCTCTTTATTTGCTTTAATCTGTTCCTTTTTAAATTGTGATCTCAGCACATGAGTAGTTGCAATATAGAGAGAGTAATATGGCATGTATTATTTTTGTGTTCTAGATGTGGAAATAGATTCAGATAAGTTAAATAATTTCCCAAGGTCTCAGAGCAAATAAATGGGTTTTGAACTAATATTCAAGTGCTTTTTTGGTATACTTAATTTTTCTTGATTGCGTATTGTTCTAAGCACATTATGTGCATTTTTTTTTTTTCATTTAAAGTCACATTTTCTGATGTCCATTCTGCTACTATCCTATAACTCTCAAAGAAGAAAATTTATGTAAATGGAAAAGGAGACATTCCATGGACCTTCAAAAGTATGTTTTCTGTGGTTTTTATTTTTAAAAAAAATTGGGAGGTGGAGGCATAATTCTGTATTTGTTTTTCTTGAGGACACTGGTGTATGTTTGTTGTTGTTTAGTCACTAAGTTGTTCAGTGACTTTATTTCTCTCTTCATCTACAGCCAGGATTTACCAACATCTCAAACTTTTTAGTCTCATGATTCCTTTATACTCTTTGAAATTACTGAAAACCTAAGGAGCTTGCTATATATACAGTTATTTGTTGCTATTGTTGTTCAGTCGATCAGTCGTGTCCGACTCTTTGTGATCCCCTGTACTGTAGCCCACCAGCCTCCTCTGCCCATGGGATTATCCTGGCAAGAATACTGGAGTGGGTTGCCATTTCCTTCTCTAGGATATCTTCCCAACCCAGGGATTAAACTCCTGCATTAGCAGGCAAATTCTTTACCACTGAGCCACACGAACTTCCCCCATAGTGTTATTTACCATATAGAAATTAAAGCCAAGATATTTTTAAAATAATCATTCATTTGTAAATTAAGTTAACGTTAGCACAAGTACCATTTTTGAAAATGACAAATTTAGTGGCAAGAGTGGTATTGTTTTATATTTTTCAAATCTTTTTAATTTCTGGCTTAAAAAGATAGCTCTATTTTATTATCTGTTCCTTCATTCAGTCTGTTCCAGGGTCCAAGTTGTGTAAGCTCTGGAAAGCTTCCTCCTATACTCGAGAGGAAAGTGAAGAAGGCAGATAACATCTTGGTATTATCATGAAGTAGTTTGAACTTATGACCCCCTGGAAGGATCTGAGGTCCTTGGACTTTACTTTGAGAATTGCTGCTCGAGACAGCAGACACAGTGATATGTGTTGAAGACAAAAGGCCTAATCTGTTCCCTGGAATTAATGGGATCCAAGACTAAAGAAACAAAAGAAACAAGTTGATTTATGAAAGAGTCTGATACATTCTATAAATTACTACTGAAACTGATCAAGACCCCCAAAACAGAGAAGATAACTTAACAGTTTGATAAGTACACTTTAGAGTGCAAAGGAGAATCTATTTTAGACAGGGTTACCAGGAGAGGTCTCTGAAGAAGTGACATTTAAGCTGAGACCCAGCCATGTGAAGAGAGGGAGGACCATGTCCTCTGAACTAGGAAGTAATTTGGGCTACCTTACATTATTCCCTTGTTTATTATCTGCTCCTCCCACAAGGAGGACAGGGTCTTTCTCTTTCTTGTCCATTGTTATATTCCCAGCACCTCATACAGAACCTGGCATGTAGGATATACACATTGAGGTTTTTTTTTTTTTTTTTGGCCGCACCACACAGCATGTGGGATCTCAGTTCCCTGTTGTTATTTAGTTGCTAAGTCTTGTCTGACTGTCTGTAACCCCATGGACTGTAGCCCACCAGCCTCCTCTGTCCATGGGATTTCCCAGGCAAGAATACTGGAGTGGATTGCCATTTCCTTCTCCAGGGGATCTTCCCAATCCAGTAATTGAACCCACATCTCCTGCTTGGCAGGCAGATTCTTTACCACTGAGCCACCTGGAAAGCCTCTTAGTTCCCTGACCTGGAATCAAACCCATTCCCCCTACATTGGAAGCATAGAGTCCTAACCACTGGACCACCAATGGAGTTCTATAATGACAGATTTCTGAATGAGTAAAACAAGTCCTAAAGAATACTGAGCAGAAGGAGAGAGACACAAAGATTCAGAAGACAGGATTCCAACCCCACTAAGATGTGTGGGCTATTAGAAGGTTGGGATTGTATTCTAGGTACATTGGGAGGTATTTTAAAGCAGAAGGAGGCTATGTTCCACTTGGGTTTGAGTCCACATTTTCAGCTGTATGGAAGATGGACTGGAGGGGAGCAATAGTGGAGTGACATCAGGTAAGCTTTTCGCAAGACTCTGGTTGTGAAATGATGGCCTGGACTAATAGCAACAGTGATGGAGAGGAGAGGCAGAAGCAAGGTGTATTTTAGACCTATAACTAACATGACTTGAGGATGAAATTAATTTGGAGAATAAAGATAGGGTGAATCAAGATGATGCCAGAATTACTTCTTAAACACCTGAGCAGGTGGCCCAGCATATGGAGGTGAGACAGTTCGTGGGGCTGCAGTGGAGAAGACCAGGCTGAGAGGCAAAAATCAAAGGTACTTTTCTGAGTACAGTCAGCCCCCTCTTACACAAGCTTTCACTTTCCAAAGTTTCAGTCCATAATTTCCAGTCCAAAGTTTCAGTTCCCATTTCATAAATGGAAAATTCCAGAAATAAGCCATAAGCTTTAAATTGCACAACTGTTTAGCATAGTGTGATGGCATCTTGGCTACCCTGGGACTTGAATCATCCTTGTCCAATGTATCTATCTCACCCCTCAGCCACTTAGTAGTCATCATCAGATTGACTGTCGTGGTATCACAGTGCTTGTGTTCAGGTCACCCTTATCTTGCGATCCACAGTCAAAGGCTTTAGTGTAGTCAATGAAGCAAAAGGAGATTTTTTTTTAATTCCCTTGCTTTTTTTATGACCCAGCTATGTGAAAGCATTTGACTATCTGGATCACAACGAACTGGAAAACTGTTAAAGAGATGGGAATACCAGACCATTTTACCTGCCTCCTGAGAAACTCGTATGCAGGACAAGAAGCAACAGAACACAACATAGAACAAGGGACTGGTTCAAAATTGGGAAAGAAGTACATCAAGGCTGTATATTATCACCCTGCTTATTTAACTTATATGCAGAGTACATCATGCAAAATGCCAGACTGGGCAAAGCACAAGCTAGAATCAAGATTGCCAGGAGAAATACCAACAGCCACAGATATGCAGATGATACCACTTTAATGGCAGAAAGTGAAGAGGAACTAAAGAGCCTCTTGATGAAGGTGAAAGAGGAGAGTGTAAAAACTGGCTTAAAACTCAGCATTCAAAAAATGAAGATCATGGTATCTAATTCCGTCACTTCACAACAAATAGGAAAAATGAAAACCGTGACAGATTTTATTTTCTGGGGCTCCAAAATCACTGCAGACGGTGACTACAGCCACCAAAATAAAAGACACTTGCTCCCTGGAAGAAAAGCTATGACAAATCTAGACAGCATATTAAAAAGCAGAGGTATTACTTTGCTGACAAAGGTCCATATAGTCAAAGCTATGGTTTTTCCAGTAGTCATGTACAGATGTGAGAGTTGGGCCATAAAGAAGGCTGAGCACCAAAGAATTGATGCTTTCAAACTGTGGTGCTGGAGAAGACTCTCTTAAGAGTCTTTTGGACAGCAAAGAGATCAAAAAGACTGCTTCGGTCTGTCCTAAAGGAAATGAACCCTGAATGTTCATTGGAAAGACTGATGGTAAAGCTGAAGCTCAAATACTTGGGCCACCTGATGGTAAGAGTCAATTCATTGGAAAAGACCCTGATTCTGGGAAAGATTGAGGGCAAGAGGAGAAGGCAGTGATAGAGGATGAGATGGTTGGATGGCATCACTGACTCAATGGACATGAGTTTGAGCAAACTCAGGGAGGGTGGTGAAGGATAGGTAAGCCTGGTGTGCTATGGTTCATGGGGTTGAAAACAGTCAGACATGACTTAGATGTGTATGTTTAGGGAAAACCATAGTATATGTAGGGTTCAGTACTATCCGTGGTCTCAGGCATCCACTGGGAGTCTTGGAACATACTCCAGGCGAATAAGGGGATATATACAATTTGATATGTTGGTTTAAACACCTAAGTGGATATGTCAGCTAGGCACTGTGGATATTCAAGTCTGGAATTGAGAACAGAGGTCAGGACTGGAGACAGAAAGTTGGGAACCTTAACTAGAAAGATATTTAAATCCATAGGAATTGAGGCAGTCACTTAGGAAAAGAGCGTAAGAGAAATGTCTCAAGGCCAGATCTTGAACCCCAGCATTTAGGTTGGATAGAGGAAAGGGAGCCAACATAGGAGTGAAGAGTGGCCAGTGAGGTGGGGGAAAACCAAGAAATAGCAACCCACTCCAGTATTTTTGCCTCGGAAATCCTATGGACAGAGGAGCCTGGCTGCCTAGAGTCCATGGGGTCGCAAGAGTTGGACACAGCTTAGCGACTAAACCATTACAAGATGCTCACTATAGAAAATATGTAAAAACAAGAAGCCAAAAAGGAAACCACTTTCCTGAGACTTTATATCTCTCTTCCTATACATTTCCTTACATAGTTGAAACTATATTTTACAACTTTTAGTTGTTTTATGTTTCAATAAGTTTTGTTAAACACTTCTCTATGACACCAAAGGCTTCATAAATATCTTTGATGGCTTGACAGTATTTCATAATGTAATCAAAACAAATCAATTCCTTTAATGTTCTGTGTTTATTCCCAACATGGCAAACTTACATAGAATGCTTTAAAATCTTTTTGTATTTTACAGAAATTTTTAAAAATCTTTGGTAGACGTCAAACGGCTTTCTACCGAACTTCTGCGATTTACTCTTGAAAGATTTCTGCTTCAGATTGTTTAGAACAGTCACCATGGATGCGGTGTGATGCATGGATGAGGACGGGGTGGGAGTGGAGACCTGTGTGGTCCAAGTATGAGGACCTGGGCGTCCCGCAGCCAACAAGGATGCGGCTCCCCACCCCCAGGCGTGGGGCGTAGCCCAGAAGCTAGTCAGAAACACACAACTCCAGATCTCAGCCCAGCCCCCACGCCCCCCGCCCCCCAATTCCAATCTGCATGTTAACAAGATGTCCAGATGACTCCTATGCCCTTTCAGGTGTGAGAAGCACTGATCTAGACCAGCGGTTTCAAACTGCACACTGCGAATCACCAGGGGAGCTTTAAAAATTCCAACGTCCCCCGTTACACCCCGTTCCTATTGGATCTCCAAGAGTGAAACAAAAAACAAAACCTCCAAGGGGTCCAATGTACAGTCAATTTTGGGAACGTGTGATCTAGAGGCAGAGCCTAGAAGGAAAAAAGGGTCTGTTGGGCTCAGGTGGCTGAAGAACAATTATTGGGGGGGGGGGGGGGTGGACGTACACTGCGTTTGGAAATCTGCACATTGCACACGCAGCGCCCAGGCAGAAGAAATAATTACTGTAGGAAAGCCTGACTGATGCCCGTACCCTGAACTAGGCGCTCAGCCAGCCAGGCCAGGTCAGGTGGCCACTCACCTAGGCGAGCGCTCCCAGATTCCGACCGCTTGTCCCGCCCCCGCCCGCATAGTCCTCGCGAAAGACTTGGGGCGCAGGCGCACTCGCCGTCGCGGCTGGGACGGCCGCCGCTGACGTCAGGACGCCTAGCGGATTCTAGGCCCCCGCCCGGGCTCCCGAGTTTTGCGCGGGCTGTGCGGGGGCGGGGCGTTGGGCCAGCTGAGCTATCCCGTCAGACCGCGCCAGTTTGAATGAAAGCTCCTCAAGATGGCGGCGGCCGGGGCCGAGGCGCCAGGAGGTGAGAGCTGGAGAGCGGCGCCCCACACTGTCCCCCGTCCGCCGGGCAAACTCCCGAGGCCCGAGAAGCGGGGCCGAAACGCGCGGGCCGGCCAGAGCGCGACGCGGCGAGACATCGCCTTCCGCGCGGCTGACACTGCGGCCCCCAGACGCGCGCCGCGGGCTCCTCCCTGCCCCCGGCCCCTGACCCTCCTCGCGGCTCGGCCCGCCCGCTGCCCGCAGTCTCTTCCCGCGCCCGGCCCTCTCGAGGCCCGGCCCCCGCCCTCCGCTGCTGTCCCACGGACCCGGCGGCCCAGCCCCCGCCGCCGGCCGGCCCCGACACCCCACCCCGCCCGACCGCTGTTTGGGGGCAACCGGGTGGCTACGGCGGATCCTTGCGCGGCTCGAGGTCCGTGGGCACGAGGGGGGCGCGACTCCTTTGTGATGGTTTGAGCGGGACGTTTGCGGTCGGGCTGGCTTTGGACTGGGAGCGGGAGGACCCCGGTGGTGTGGGTGTGACCTCAGTGTCGGAGGAGCAGAGAGAGGTCGGGGCTATGAGAGGTGTGAAGGCTAAGAAAGGAGGTGAGTGAGGATGTACCCCGATTCGGACTCGGGGAGGACCGGTTCCCTGTTGGAGGAAATCCCACTAAGTGGGTACTGGAGGCGGTAGCCCCTGGCTCACGGGAATCTTCATCCCTGCCGGGAAAGAACTTGCGTGCTGTTTCTGTGGTCGCCAAAGAATTAGGTGCTGAACGTGTGTTTGTGCGCGCGCTCCAAGACTGGAACTTTCAATGCCTTCTGAAACGGAAAGGTGTTTTCCAGCACTGCGCCTCTCCGCTTGGATTATGGACTCATTATCGCCCAACTTTTCCTCCGCTAGGGGTTAGTGTGAACTAGTGTCAAGTTCTTGTGGTGGTCATGAAATGTTTACTCTTAACCAATGAATTCTCTTTCTACGTTATTAGAGACAGATTGGTTACTGGGCTGGGGGCGAGGGGGTGCGGTGTCGTGTGTTCCAAGTTTTCTTACTCTCAAAACTAGCATTTCCGTGGAGGGTTGCGTCTTGAATTCTTCTGTTGCTTGCACTAAGTGAAATTGGTAGGAACAGCAGACAGATACACCTTGGATAGAAAGTCCAGGTGGTCAGCATAACGAGGTTAGCTCTTCACAAAACATCCTGAGGCTTTTTAAATGGAAGAGATGGATATAAGGGGTGGTTTGTATTCCACTACTCCCCTACCCCCAAACCACCCCTCAAATTTTTTAGGGGAAAAATACATTTCACTTTCTTGATCTGTAACTGAGTTCTTTGGGGTGGGGAGGAGTGGGGCTGGAAATCGTATTTCAGGTTTTCTGACCAAGAGACCCCTGGGTGAGTTTGGGAGGGCGAGGAACCGGTATACAAGGACCAGCTCTTCTCTCTTCCCTGCAAATTACCTCCAAACCCAAAAGGCTATCACAGCTACCTTGGAAAGCTGCCTAGTAAAGCGTGCGTTTACTGATGGATTTTGTTTGGTTTACTCCCAGTTTATTCCAGCCCTCACATTTTTTTCAGTGAAGCTGAAACCCAGTAAGATGGAAACCTCCCTAAAGTCATGTAGTCAGGTGGCCTCGAGGGGGCTGGAACAGAGGACCCTTGATCCTCTCTGGTGTTTCTCGTGGCACTTGCCGGAAAGCCAAGTTTATTCTGTGTTTCTAAACGTCAGTTTGTGTTAACCTATTTTTAAAAAATATTTATTTACTTAATTTGGCTGTGCCAGGTCTTAGTTGCAGGTATGGGGGATCTTCTATCTTAGATGCAGCATATGGGATCTAGTTTCCTGACCAGGATTGAATTTGGGCCCCTGTATTGGGAGCTTGGAGTCTTGGCCACTGGATCACCACCCTGTGTTAACCTATTTTTAATGCAGTGTGGTGGCATACTCTTAACAGGAATTTGAGGGTAGACTCCCACAGCACTGTTACTGGCTTTTATAAGGTTGATGATGAGTGTATCTAATTTTCTTCAGACTTGGTGTAAATTGAATACTCTGTATTGTCATCTTTGGCTTTGAAAACAATATAGGAAGTGAGTACTACAAAACTCAGTATACTCTTCATTATTTTATTGTAACCCTTGGGTTAATTTACCTTGCTAAACTACATTGCTGCATGGGCAAAATTGAAGTTAAAATTTCATACAACCTTCCCAAATGGGAAAAGTGGATCATATGATGTCACAAGTATATAACTATAAAATTAGATTTCAGTTCTTATTGCTGGACGAAGAGAAGGGGAAAATTACTTTTTAACAATGTAAGATTATTTTAAAATATATTTAAGATATATCTCTAATAATTTTGTGCTTGAGGTCTACATTTGACTAAAACAGCAATTCTATATAGAATACAATGAAAAAGTTAAAAATACTATCTCAGCCTATCTGTGTGTATAATCTCTGAAAGCTTATAGACATGAAACATTTTGTTTAGGTGGCCTAGTGGAAATTGATACAGTAGAGCAGAGACACATGAGAAAATCCAGGAAGAAATATTTACATGTAAATGGTTTCTTGAATTTTTAGTCTTACAAAATTGCCAGTTGAAGGGTGGGGATATAGAAGTCAAGATTTTTTGTTTTGTTTTATTTTAATTGAGTAGCTATTTCATTAGTAAAGAATTCTATTTTCTTATTGTAGCTTGGTGTGTGCCTTGCCTAGTTTCACTTGATACTCTTCAGGAATTATGTAGAAAAGAAAAGCTCACATGTAAATCGATTGGAATCACCAAAAGGAATCTAAACAATTATGAGGTGGAATACTTGTGTGACTACAAGGTAGTAAAGGTAAGGCAAATATCTAGACCCTTAAAAGAGACCTAATCAGACCTCCTTTTAGTATTTCATATTTCTGTAACATAAAGATAACCTTAAAAGTAAGCAAAGCTCTTCTTAATGGTTACAGTTCTCAGCCATAATAAATTTATATGTCCTGTCATCTGTTTTGCCAACTAACATTGAGAGGATTTTGAAGTACAAAATGTTCTTACATTCAAATATTTCAAGGTGCTTATGTCATTCTACATCCAACTCTTGATTATCTCCATGTGGATTACCAAAGCAAATGTTTTAGCTCAGATTGGCTTCTCCTGTCATTCGTTTTGTTCCTGAATCATATTTCCCCACTATCACCTGAGATGAACCTAGAAATTTAAGCCAATTTTAATGTTACCAAATCTCAAGAAGCATCACCATTTGTATTTCCTGCTGTCCTGTCAAACTCCAGATAGCAATGAGGTTTTGTTGTGCAGTAGAACAGCCTGGAGTTCAGTCATTTCTAGCCTTTGTCTAGTACCTTGTGAAACCAGAAAAGTCATTTAACTTCCCTGGGCTCCCTGTATTTCTGTTTCTCTTGAAAATGACAGGGTTTTTCTTCAAGAAGCTCTTTACAGTCTAAACTTTACCATATACTTTTGAGTAACTCATCTCTCCATTGCCTACCTATTCTGTAAGAACTCTGATTGTTCATCTGTCAGTTCTTCTGGATGAATGAATCAGAAATCCTGTTTCCTTGTTTTCCTTCTCTTTCATCTTCCATATGGATTCTGCCATTAAATCCAATTCTTCTTTGAAACATCCATCTTCTTTTGGTCTCACAGGCTTCCTCACTCAGTGGAATGTTGTGATGAAGCATTTCACCTACCTAGCAACTAAACAACAACAAAATTTTACCTACGCTGTCGGCACTCTCTGCACCCCTGGCTGCAGTCTTCAACCCCCGAACAGCCCAGTCATCTTCCATTTCAGTTTATAAACTCTTGCCTGACCAGTCTAGCTGCAGGGGTCATATAATCACACTTCTTGGCTCCATTACATATTATTTCTGTTCTCACACTGCTCAGTTCCACTTGACAAGCTTTTTATCTTTCACTTGCTTCTTCCATTCTTGTCATCATTTTCCCAATTATAACTTTTCTGGACTTACTGTGTCTCTCACCCTGTCATACTCAGCTACAGACTTCTACCTCTTTGGATCCTCCAGGTATGAACTCTCAACTTACTTCACACCAGTTATCTGTATCTTTGTTAAGTGGTTGCACCTATTTTTCTTTTTTTCCCCTGCCCATCCCTTTTAGAACTTTGCTTAATCTTTGATGTCTTTTTTTTTTTTAATCAAGTGCGGTTTTTTCCACTGGTTTATCTTAATTGATAAATCAGATTTTCCCTAATCTTTCTTTGATCTTGCGTCCCCACTCAAGCATTTCCTATCTTTTCCTTCTTCCTTATTTCCCATCAACTTTTAAATACAGCTTTATTGACTCATGATTCACATACCCTACAATTCACCAATTGAAGCTGTACAATTCAAAACTTTTTGGACACTTGCAGAATTATTCTAAAATTGGTTGTAGCGGTGGTTGCACATTTTCATTAACCTAAAAAGAAACCCCATACTGCTTAGCCATCACCCCCCAAACCTCTCCAGATCTTTTTCCATTAACCCTCGGCAACCACTAGTCTACTTTCTGTCTCAATAGATGTCCCTGTGTGGACATTTCATGTACCTGGAATCATACAATATGTATGTGGTCCTTTATGATTGGCTTCTTGCACTTAGCATAATATTTTCAAAGTTCATTCATACTATAGCATGTATTAGTACTTTTTTTTATTGCCAGATATGTCATCACATGACATATATGGACATAGCACATTTGATTCATCTATTCATTACTTCATGGACATTTGGGTTGTTTCTATCTGGGAGCTGTTATAGATAATGTTATGAACATTCACGTACAAGTCTTGGGGTGGGCATGTTTTCATTTCTCTTGGATATATACCAAGAAGATCAGCTGCTGGTACCTCTATGGTTTAACCATCTGAGGAACTGCCAAACTGTTTTCCAAAGTGACCTCACCATTTTACATTCCCACCACCAGTGTGAAGGTTTTGATTTCTCCACATCTTCACCAATACCTGTTATCTGACTTTTTGATTATAGCTGTCCTAGTGGGTGTGGAACATCTCGTTCTTTTGGTTTGCATTTCTCTGGTGGCTAATGATGCTGAACATCTCCAGTGCTTATAGCCATTTGTATATCTTCTTTAGAGAACTATCTATTCAGATCCTTTACCTATTTTTTAAAGTTTTTTTAAAATGTATTATTTGTGGCTGCACTGAGTCTTCACTGCCGTGCAGGCTTTCTCTAGTTGTGGTGAGCAGCCTTCTCACTGTGGTGGCTTCTCTCGTTGCGGAGCCAGGCTCTAGGGCACAGGTTCAGGGTTAACCGTGCCTGGGCTTAGTTGCCCTGTGCATGTAGGGTCTTCTCGGACCAGGGATGGAATCTGTGTTCCCTCCATGGGCAGGCTGATTCTTGACCACCATATCACCAGGGAAGTCCCTACCTATTTTTTTTGAATTACGTTGTCTTTTTCTTACTGAGTTGTACTAGTTCTTTGTATATTCTAGATAGTCCCTTATCAGATACACAGATTGCAAAAAATTTGAGCTGTAGCTTGCTTGTAGTTTCCCGTCTTACTTTTTAACCCCTCCGTTCTGATTTATGCCCCTATCAGTGACCTCCTAATTGCCACATTTGAGGACCTCGGGTCTTACTCTCCTTTGCAGCATCCTACCCTGTTGGCTACTCTTTCTTCCTTGAACCTCTTGTCCTGGAGAGACTGCCTGGGTTGATTCCGGCTCTCCGTGTACAGTTGCATGGCCTTCAGTGTGGTACCTGGTTCTCTTTCCTTCAGTTTCCTCGCTGAGGTGAGTGGACAGTACCACCTCATGTTAGGTGGTGCATGTCACAGGGTCTCTGTTAGCAGACTCACCTGTGGTGGTCCTGTGGTAACGGCCTGTGCTGTCGTCGTCGTTTCTCACCTCCGTCTCCACTCCTTCTCACCACCCCTTCCTCTTACTGTTCTTTCTGAAGCTCCCTTACTGTCTCTTACCTGTCCTTCCTCTGAAATGTCGACACGTAATCGCGAAGGTGCTCTCCTTGGCCCTCTTCTCCCCTGGAAGCTGCTCTGTAGATGACCTCTTCTCGGTGGTTTCTATTTACACTTATTTGACTAGTGACCCTCAAATCTCTGTGAGGCATTGTCTTCTTTCTGAGCTTCATTTCAAACTGGGCACCCTGTAGGTACGCACATTGAACATATTCAAAACTGTATCCATTTCCCCCCATCAAACCTGCATCCTGATCTAGTGTCCCCTATCTAGCTTCATAGAATTATAACCTTCACAGTGACCTATCTTTATAAATTCTTCTTTCCTCCCTACCCTCTAAATCTAATAGATCATCTGATTATGTGGTCTCTACCTCTTAGAGACCATATGTCTCTGTCTTTTGCTGTTAATTCCTGTTCCACTTTAACAGAGACTTAATTACCAAGGAATCTGTACTTACATTGAAGGAGCTGCCAATTTTTTTTCTTATTCAGAATTCTGAGTCTTACAGTTCGGTTTGGGTAACTTTTGCTGTTAGTTTCTCCTTCAACCTTCTCCTTTTGGTTTCTTTGGAATAAGCACGCCTCCCACACTTATATCCTCGACAACTCACTTATATCCCTTACTTCTTCTCCTGCCTGACACAGATTATTTACTCTGTAAGCCAGTATTACTTCAGTATATGTCTACCTTTTCCGTCTGTCTGTCTTTCTGTCTTACAGTCAGGGCAGGTGAGAGAACCTATGACCCTGTCCTTTTCTTACATATTCCCCTCCATTTAGCTCATAGAAGAGATTGTCTCAGCACCATATTCTTCAGAGTCATTACAGTTTCTGAAACACAGCTCTGATTGCACTAGAACCTTCCTTTAGCCCTTTCAGTGGCTCCCTGGTGTCTGCTAATCTAAGCTGAGTCCCTTTGGACTGATGTTCTCTATCATCAGGCCACCAACCCCCTTCCCAGCTTCATCTCCTATAACATGTCCTACTTCCCAACCACACTGATATGCTAGAAAATTCTTCCATGTAGCTAAGGCTTACTGAATGTGTAGTGTGAGCTGAGCACTCTTCTGAGCATTGAGAATTTAGCTTAACAACAGACAGAGCTTATATTCTAATTCCTGAATACATCATGCACCTTCGTGCCTTTTGACTTTTCTCATCCAGTTCTCTCTCTCAAACTTTTTCTTCCCTCCTTTGCAAAATCCTGCATGCCTGCAAAGTTCAGCTGAAAGGTTACACCAACCACAGAGCCTCCTTCCTTCCTCACCTCAGCAAAATTACTTTCTTTATTTTCAGGATAAGCACTGTTCTTGTCATTATTCTAGAACTTTTCACATTTTGTGGCTTTGTTTCATACCTTCCCTGCTTAACTATAAACCATTTGAGGGCCAAGAGTATGTCTTACTATAAACTGTAGTATACAGTGGGTATTTAGTTCATGGTTGATGAATTGGTTTTTTATGTCAGTTGTTTCTCCAGCCCTCACAATGACCACTGGATCAGGTCATCATAGCTTCATGCTTAAATGACAGCACCAATTTACTGACTAATGTCTGCTGATTCATCTTTCTGTAGTCTCACTCAGTAAATATTTGAGATTTTTCTGTGTATCAGGTGCTACATTAGGCAACAGGAACATAAAGATTAATGAGAAATGGTCCCTAACCTTAAGAAACTCACAGCCCAGTGAACAAGACTGGTAAGTAAACCATCCAGTGCTATATAGACTAGTAAGTGCTAGGACAGACATCCTGACACGATTGGTGGGAGGAAGGCCTAGGCTGACTCAGAGAAGGCTTCCCGGAAAAGATAACATCCCGCTGGGGCCTCCTAAGACGAATGGAGGCTTTCCTTAAGGCTTTATACAGAGAATGGAGGGGAAGGATCTGG